ACAAGGATGTTTATCTCGACCAAAAATTCACAGACACCACTCATAAACGATTCCCCAACAGATGCATAAACTTCTGCAAAGATTTCAATCAGTTAAAATGAAACAGTGTCTTATTCAAAAAAGGAAAGATAATTTGGAAAAGATGAAATATAATTTAAATGGTTTGAAAGACATACCTTAAGCAGCCAATAGTGTTTAGCTGTGTATTTCTCAGCAGAAAGTGGCAAGAGAGAGCAAGAGAGCAAAGGTGGGCAGATCAAAGGTTGAGCAATTAAAACCAGATAATCCTTTTCCAGCAGCTCATCAGCCTTAAAAAACATTTCCAATCCCATGATTCTCAAGATGACCCAAACGTTCTCCTTTCAGCACTTGTCTTGGAGCAGAATTACTTTTCCCGGTTTAAATTTGAGAAGAAAATCCGATTTCCTCAGATTATCTATTCAGATTATCTTATCGGATATGAATTTGCCGTGACCAATCTCTTAGACACAAGCTTGTGAGTTTACATAATCGTAATGCAGCAGGAGTCAAAAGCAGAGACAAGAGAATGACCAAATAGATCTGAAAATAGCAGGGTCCATTACAATAGTGGCCACACAGAGATGAAAGCCAACTGCCATCATGACAGTGTTCAAGTTTTATAATTAACTCAAAGTTCTATTAGATCATATGACCATGAGCAGCTTGTGCATTATCTTTTTATCTTGCACAAGAAGACAGCATAATTCCTTAGGGAGGACTACACGTTCATATATATATATATATATATATATATATATTTTTTTTTTTTAATCCAAAATTGGCAGATCAAGTTCTTTAATGAGAAGTCAAGTTAATTTCAAGAGTAATACAATGACAAAAAATTATGACTCTCGATTGGTAGAAGAGTAACATTTTATGACACTCAACAGCTGACAGACAGATATGAATAGTTTATCAGCGGAGTTTTGATTATAAAGAGCGTAAAACAGTGGCAGACTTGCTATAAGACAATTCTCATTACTGCTCAGTGTTGAGGGTCATACAGTGTAAAATGGCCTGTAATGTGGCAATCATAAAACAAGAGTGATAAGCGAAATGAAGATTCTTGTGCAAGAAGACACACAATTTCTGCTTAACAAGCACCCAAGTAATCTGCATCCTGTCTCATACAATCACACAATAAAACAGTGATAAAAATTCACACAATCCTAAAATCTTTTTTGCTGTGAAATGCAGATATCAAAGTTACTTTTAAACATTGGTTAAGAGGTGCATTATAGTCATACCAACCACAAAGCACATACAGCACAAGCAACAATCAATCCAACAGTTTGATATCTAACATGTTTTACAGCTGATCAGACAAGAAAAGGAAACTGAGCCTTGATATAAACTTATTAGTGAGGTTTATCATTGATGATTCATACTACAAAGAATATGAAATAACTTTATTCTACTGTCTGCCAATTCATAGATTTTGCCTAATCTCTAACTCTCTCAATCACAAAGAAAATGTGGACATATTTTTCCATTTGAATGCCCAGATGCTTCAGGATGAGTTCAACACATATTCTGTGATAACTAGAATGACTGAGAATATTATTCACAGACAAATACATCAAGAAATCTTATGACTATCTACACATTAACCCAGATGAACCAGGTAAGGCACAAGATGGAGGAGCACACTGCATTGCTGAATTCTAACTCTTAAGAATTTAGAACTAAGACCATAGAATCCCTTGAATGTTTTGAAAACACTTCCAGATGACCGGAGACTGGAATCTTCCACTTACAACAAAACACCTTTCAGTGCAGTACCTAACATAATGTTGTTTATACTCAGATGAGGACATGTCTCATGGTCCTGGCTGTTCAGTAACTTAAATGAACCCAAAAGTCACAACAGTTAAGTTTCATTAAAACAGAGGATTCAGCAACAAGCTGCGGGTGTCCATAAACATTGGCACAATTCCACATCAGCAATATTACAAGCGTGCAAGTTACACATTAGCATGCACAAAAATGGCCAAAACATTACTAATAGCTGATTTGCATGGAATTAAAATAATAATAATAAAACCTAAGAACGCTTTAGTATAAATGAAACCTCTGAACTCGGTCAGATAACGGATTATCATTTTCCCCTGGTTTTAACATTCCGTAAACAAAGCCCATATATATATATATATATATATATATATATAGAAAGAAAGATTTTCTGAAATTAATCTCGATTAATCCCGCCTAACATTAAAGTTTTAAAATATACTTTTATATTGCAATGATTTCACATTCAATCTTGAAATTTATGAAGAAACAACATAAACACAGTATATTTTTAATATTTGTTTAATGGCATCTTTTTTATGTCTGAAGGTGAGTATCACCTGATGCTGAAATGTATTATATCATGTAACTTTGTAGTCTATTTTTGTTTTCAGATAATTTAATATTTACATAGGTCTAGTAAGTTACTAAAACGTAGCACATAATTGCGTATTGAGTATTTTTAAAAATCCCTCTTTTATTTAGTCTCCATTAATTTGTAGTTTAAAGGCTGTAGGCTATTACTCCTGTGAACTGAACAAAATCCCTAAATAAGACAAGAAAATATATACAGCGTTCATAATCATTTCGTTTTTAAATGTAATTAAATTTCTCACGTTTCAACGTATCTTTACTTTTGCTACCATTCATCACTTTTACTTGCCATCAAGTCAAATACCAACGCATGCCGAACTGACAGGTAAGACAAATAACAAAACGCCACGGGTAACACGTGAGCATGCAGCGCCAGAGTAGCAGTCACTTACCGCAATCATGCATTTTTGAACTCCACACCTGAAACACTGACTACCTCAGGATGATGATGCAGATGAAAGCCGTGGACAGTTTGAATGCGTGTGAAACCTAAACCAAACAGGCGGTCCTCAGCCTCCTCAAACTGCTGCCGCTACCGAGCGCCTCCCACCGCGTAGCGCGTACCTTAACTCGACCTTTATAACCTCACCTACTATGCAAATACTAGTGATTGATCAACCTTGAATTGAAGAACACAGATTATTTGAGAAAAAAGCTCAATTTGAATATATATTGCATAATATGGACACATATTTTGTATATCAATAGACAATTTCTCCTGAAAGATTTGTTAAAATGAGAGCTCACATACGGTTACATAAATTTTGCAATGTGCAGATTTCCCTTTCATTAAACCCTAGAACTTTCTGAATGTCAGAAAAGAAATTCAGCTCTCTGTTCATCCTTCCTTCCTCACAACCCTTCATCTGCTGACACTGCTGACACTGAAGAGAAGGAATGGGTAAAACAAATGCCTGCAAAACTAAAGATGAAGAAAGGT